CCCCCCCCTCTCGCGCGCGCTAGTCTTGGTCGTTGAACGAGTCAAAAAATGTTTTCCATATCGATGTCCTTGGAGGCTGGTTTCATGTGGGACCCATATGCACTCCGCAAACGAGACGGCGACACATCTGTTAAAAGATAACACAGGTGTCCTAAGATGAGCTTAAAAAAATAAATGTATAATTTTGTAAATATTAAAACTTATTTATTAAACTTTTTTGTGTTTGAGATTTATTTATTAAAAATACAGAAAATAATTTTTTTTAAAATAAAAAAGAAACCAAAATAAAATATGTTGAATTACTTTAATTTCAATACAATTTGTTGTATTTAATTTTTGAAGAAATAAATGTTGAGGTTCTCTCTCTTACCTTCTCCCATGTGCCATGCACCACAATATATATAATCATTTAAAATAAATTTTAAATATTATAAAATTAAATAGTTGATATTCTTTTTAATTGTTTATGTAGATGAAAAATGGAGAATAGTTTTAAATGAGTTGGTTATACCCATAACATCAATAATTATGAATTAACACTTGTACATATATATATAGAGATAAAGGAAATACAAGTTGCATGGATCTAACTACTGAGTCCTAAATCATTAGGATGGTGTCTGATTGGTTTGAACTTGAGCTCTACAGGTTAAAAGTGTCTGGATATCTCATGTTTGAATTCAAGGAGGAATAAAAGATCCCCTTGTGGCTATGGAGGTTCAAATGTGGTGACTTCGGGCTACCTGCAAAGGGGGTGGTCGTCCTGAGATTAGTCGGCTCGCATAGCGGGTTGAATATCTAGGTTAATCAAAAAAATATTGAGTCGTATATGTACCTTGCTCTCTGTTTGCAACGGAAAACATGTTTGTAAACTTGAATACACACACACTAATTATATAAGTTTATTTAGTAACTTTAAATATTTTTAAACCTAAGATAGTTTTTGTAACATTCATAATGAATAAAGTGATAAGCATCCATGATAAATATTCATGATGAATTATTAATATTCATTATTATTCTAGATTATTCATTATAAATACTAAATTAAATAGATGACTCCTCATGACTTTTCAAAATATTCAAAGTTTCTAAATGAATCTCTTTCTCTCTCTTTATATATATATATATATATATATATATATATATATATATATATATATATATATATACTCATTCAAGGAAGAACTGATTAGTTTGTGATAACTGTAAGATCCAATATGAACCACTCATTTGAGATATTTAAGGACATTTCTGAAATAAGTTAAAAGGATAATATAGTAATTATATTTTTGACAACTAATCAAAATATTTAATTAATTTTTTAGAAGGAATATTTAATTAAAATTAGTTACTTAGTATATCAATTACCTAGTATACATCATATTTTAAAAATGTTTGTGAATCAAAATGTATCATAGTGATAAAGTTTCACAATGTTTCACGTGTATCACAATATATTTTCTTTGTTTTATGAAATGTACCATAGTGTGCATTTTCGTTATTTTCATTGATTTACAAAAGATATCACATTCTACATCTTATATGTATATATGGGTATCACAATGAATATCATTTATGGATATCATTGTGAATATCGTTTATAAGTATCACAGTGTGTATCTTGTGTTCACAAAAAGGTTAATCGAAATAAAGTCCGTCGAATAAGATTCGTGGTAGGGAAGAAAGAGGAGCGATGATAAAAGATATTTATAAAATCCCTAAAACAGTTCTTATTCGATTACACAAACAAAACAGTTCTCGTTTGATTAGGATATCACTTTGATTTGTGGTTGAAATTAAATCTCATGATTATACAAACAAAACAGTTCTCGTTTGATTATATATATATATATATATATATATATATATATTTTGCAACCAATGAAATTTGATGATGTTTAATTTTAAGGAGTATTTTAATTTGTTAAAATATAGAACCACATTTATCATATACATATAAAATAGCTTAAATAGGTTTGCTTAATAAACACATATATGTATGCAAATGAAAGACACACAACCAAAATAATACCTAAAATATCTCATAATACTTGAGAAGACGACATCGTATCTACGATCAATGCAAGTGTTGTCTTGTGGGGGAGCTTAATTAAATTTGAACCCCTACATATGTCCACTAAATATGCATTTGTGTTAAATCTTATTTCTTAATTAGATACTAGGAGTTACACCATTTTGTTAAATAATTGGGTTACAAAGGTTGTACAAATGCACAAGGTTGTAAAAGAAATATACCCTATATATATATATATATACATCTATGTAAAGAAACGATCAAATGCAAATCATTCATATTTGTACAAACCGTGTAACTAACCCTCATTCGTCGATTTTATTGTTTAATTTTATAAAATATTTTCATTAAATTGTTTCATATGTATAATATTTTTTTTATAAAGTTGTTTCATATATAGTTATGAAATTGTTTTATATGTATAATATTTTTTTTTATAAAGTTGTTTCATATATGGTTATGAAATTTTAAAAAAATTGTTTCATGTATTTCTCTAAAATTAATATAATGAAGATGGTAATATCCATGATTAGCACCTCCATAATAAAAATGATTAATCAACCTCTAATAATTACAAAAAAAATGAACAAAATAAAAAATTTTGATTGGTTGAATGAGGTTTGTACGGTTTATACAAATAACGTGTTTTACAAAGTAAACCTCCTCCATATATGTATGTATGTATGTATGTATGTATGTATGTATGTATGTATGTATGTATGTATGTATGTATGTATGTATGTATGTATGTATGTATGTATGTATG